GGAAAATAATGATTTAAGGTTGATGAAACGAAGGGTGACCAGAAGCTAAAAAGATGTAGAATCCAGTAGATCACAAGAATTAAAGTAAAGAGTGGTGGGGAACTAATAGTTGACAGAATACTAGTAATTTAAGAACGCGGTTTAGACTCAATCTGCGAGTCACCTTCGTTTTTCCTCCTCTTTTTTTTTTAATTTTTTTTTTATTTTTTTTTTTTAACAGGTAAGTGACATTCAGAGATAGGTTACAAATAAGACACAGATAAAGTGGAGATCTCATAACCAACCTTGAGATTGGCGCAGTACCACAAAGCTCGGGACCGACTTTGAGATGAAGTTCAGAGCATCAGTGGGGATGCTAGCCTAGTTCATAAAGCCGCTCACAAGATAAACTCGAAGGACGTGTAACCACTGGTACGTGCAAGTTCCGAGAGCAGTTACCGAAAGCTCAAAGAATACAGAAGCTCAAGACCAACCCTGAGTTGCAACTACCGACTGCAGAATACTCAGGTCTGACTCTGAGATGAGATTCGAAGCTGCGATCCGAAGTACCAATCTAGTATTGAAGCGGTTCCTAAGTAAATTCTAAAGAGAACAGTTCTCCGGGCCGACCCTGAGGGGAGAGTTGCAGTGCCTACAGAAGTTAGAGTCTCATTTAAAACAAAGTTAAGCGAGTACCAGTACAAGTCCATCTAAAAGTGATTCCGCTAACCTACCACAGATGAACAGGATTAGGTCACGAGACTGCAACTTGTCGAAAACGAAAGTTAGGTGCAACCTTGAGTAACGAGAAACATCTATAATCAACATAAATGATCCTTCTACTTCCCTTTTTCCTTCCTCTCTCTCCCCTCCTGCCGGAATCCTTCTCAAAGGTAGGTAAGGTAGCAAGATAATAAACAGGTGAAGTAAAAGGTCGTATGTATGAAGCATCGACCGATGAGTTTAAAAAATGAAATGGTTTGGTTGTTGGTAAGCAAATCTGGGGATGAAAATACACGATTTAGAGGGAAGAAGATAAGAGAAGGTGTTATAGTGAAGTGCTTTGAGTTGATTAGTGTCATCGCAATAAAGGGTAGAGTTTTAGCAAAGAGTTTGAGTTGTGGCGATTAAAAGGGGATAGCTGTCAGGAAAGAGTGGTAAGGTGGTTGAAACTTGATACCTGGTGAGCTTGAGCTGATCTTTTCTTCTGGTACTTTTTCCATGCTTGTATTTGGCATGGACAAGGGCTAACACCTTCAAGTTGGATACGATCCCTCCGATTGTGGAAGGCACAGTCTTCCGCACAAAGATTTGAGAGGCTGCCGCTCTCACCGTAACTCTCCATGAGTTTCGGGAAGGTACCCCAAGAGCTAGTGGACGACATCATACACGTAGCGGATAGAGTGATGTCCTTGGTTGGTGAGGAGTAGATGGGCTATGGAAGACAGATGTTCGTAACAGTGGTGGGGAGCACTATGGTAGGTAGCTCCTTGGTCTGTCGACTCTCGAAATTATGTTAAAAGGGATGAGGGATTGCGTGAGGAGTACGGGTGCAAGTTGCTTGCTGCCAGCAGGTGGGGTACCAGGGTGATAGGTCGAAATGAGGATTCAACCAGGAAATGTCGACCGCGGGTTGGTTCGACGGTACGTAATGGAAAGCCTTGCAAGAGGTCGGCCTGGAATAGTTACGAGCTGCTGGGTCTAAGGGGAACTCTTGAGAGTAGGGGTAGTTCACGGTTAATACCCTTTGTCCTTGCGTGGAGTGACATAGCTTCTTGAGGTAGGGAGAGTCTACGAAAATGGGAGCAAGACTCTGGAAATAGTGCGGTTGAAGGATAAACTTACAGTTGTGTAACGTGAAGGAGGAGGGAAAGTCGAGAAAATAGCAAGACGTAATGACCGCTACTTTGCATGGATTTCTAAAAGTAGTAAAGTGTCAACGAAGAACTGTCATAGTGCATGGAAAGGTGGAGTTCAGATTTACTTACAATAGGGAAAAGGTATGGTGAGGAAGTAGAATGTGTTTACTTACCTTGATTGGAAATTTTGTGAGCGATTTGCCGTCCGTGAGGTGGAAACGAGGTTAACCATCCGTTCGTCTTGCTGCAGGTACCAGGAACGGAGCGCCGCCGCTGAGCGCGTACGGAAAAATCGTGAGAAGACAAAAGTCACTGTCCGGAACCACCAGGGCCAGAAATAGTAAATGACCGACGGGTCACGGCGAGCCCAATCGGGCATGAAAGATGCGGGGCCACAATAAGGCCCTTCCAGATGAGCTATTCGGGACCCACCCTATTTGGGGTGGCGTTGCCTGCTTTCGTCCAATAGAATTAAGCTAACCTCGCCTTCAATGATGGATTGGAACTTCCATCGTTATTTCCGCACTTCAGGGGGTACTAATTGACGTAACTGGGAGCTACGTGGCTGAATCCTACCCCCCCACTGGAACTGTTAACCGGCACGGATAGGTTCGAAGCCAACTTGCGGAATCAGATGGAAGTTCGCTCTGAAAAGAACGAAGGGAAAAAGAGAGCTGGTCCGGTCGTTTCCACGATTCACACGTCTACATTTCAGCAGTTTATCGGTGTAGATAAGCCCACTGGGACAACCCCGCGAGGGAGGACTTGAAAAGTTGGCTCATCCAGCGGCCTAGCTCAGTTGGTAAGGCACGCAAGTGGCATTCAGGAGTCTTGGGTTCAAACCCCAGTGGCCTCACGTACCTTCCTGGCTGAGCTTGGCGCCCGCCACCTAGAGATATGCCGTTGGTCCCCCGAAGTGGCATTGAGAAGAGACTGATCATGTTCATAGGGGAAGGGGACCAGAGGGGAGGCACAGTGACTGGCCCATCGAAGAAGCTCGGTCCTGATGCTACCGGCTGACCCCTGGCCGGTATCGCCCACCTGCTGTAGCAGGTATCGCACCTGCTGGTGGGTGCAGCTCCCGCATGTTCCCTCGTTGGAGGCTTGAGCACGGATGTGGCTGCTACGGGGTTCCCCATACATACTATAATGACAATACAAAAGGCGTGAAAGGCCGTCCTGTCCAGATTTGACAAGTAACAAAGTAAAAAAAAAAAAAAAAGTTGGCTCTGCGGTCAGGCTCCATTTGCTTGGATTCTTTGTTCCAGGTTGTGTACCAAATGACAGTATTGGGTTGAGTTGGATTGCTCCAGTAACACTGCCGCTTCTAGTTTTGGTGAGCGCGCAATGGCGGCGAGTTTTCGTGATTTTCGCGATGGCCGATTGATGGGATCTGTGTGTGATCGCCATCTGACGGAGGAGGGAGGTGAATGGAGAATTGGTGAGCGCGAATCGCTTTTTTTCCCGGAAGTCTTATCGAACGCGCGTGGTCAGATGCGTTTTCAAAGTGGAAGAGGAAGACGGAAGAAGCTTCGATGCTTACTGTATCTGAGTGCAGACTTACACTACGAGGTGGGCAAAAGATAGATCAGGAGCAAGAGGCAGAGCCTCGGGCGCGGTCTGTGACCCGGTACGCGATTTCGCAAGCATTTTTTTTGTTGTTGTAAGTTATTCGAATGTTTTCCAAGAACTTGCCTCTCGATTACCCTGCTGAAAAAGCTAACTTAAAAAAAAAAAGAAAAGGACGAGGCCTTGAGGGAGGAAGGGAGAGAGAATCGGGGAGATAGCGAGTATTTACGTGAAGCGACTGGGAAGACTTAGGGTGACGTATTGTGTCCGTTACGGGGCTAAAAGGATCTCCTTCCGGAGCGGCAGCGATGGACAAGAGAAGAGAGTGAGAGCATTATCAGGAGGAGGAAGAGAAGGGATGCGTCGTGTGTGTGTGTGTGTGTGTGTGTGTGTGTGTGTGTGTGTGTGTGTGTGTGTGGGTGTGTTCAACGGAACAGAGAGCATGATTTGAGTGATACTCACACTTGGACTTCGTATACTAAGCTCTGGACGTGATTGCCATCAGGTTCATTCAGATTTCGCCGCAATCGCTGTCCGATGCATTTACAAAAGTCTCAGCTGTCACGGATGGCGATGGTCGGTTTGTGAACGGATTGATTCTCTGTATCAATTGGAGACTTTTGGAGTGTGAGGTAACATTTTACTTCTGACATTTCGAAAAGGCACGCGGGTGATAAAATCATTTTTTTTTTCTTTTTTTTTCCCCTTTTTCCTTCGCATCGTGCAGTTTAAGGTTCGGACTGCGCAACTTCTCCAACGAAACTCCATTTACCTTATTTATGGTCATGTGCATTACGCACGCTATCGTTATGATGGCAATTTTGAACACACGAGGAATCAGTGGCGGGGGGTTGGCTGCTCGACTCGGTCCAGCGGCGGCGTAGGCCTCTGTCTGGAAAAAAAAGGATTTCTGCTCACATCTAATTAACCGCGCCTTTCGCCCTGCCCTGTTCATTTTTCGTGTGCTCGGCTCCTCTTGAGTCTCCTCACACTGCCGGCGATGATCAGCCAGCGGTATTTAGGACGGAAGTGACTTGCTCCATCCTCCTCCATCTCCTGAGAACTCGCCTTTCCCGCCGCCCTGTTGATCCTTTGTGTCTGCTCGGCTGCGTTTCGCACAGCAGAGGAAGGTGTCTCGGAAGGAGTAGTCGGAGAGAGCAGAATGGAAGGACGAGTATCCATAGCCGCCGAAACAAGAGAGGCAACCGTTGTGCGCGGAGTTTGAAAAGGCGCGCGGGAATTCACTGCGCGCCAACATAGAAAGCTCCCCTCGCCAGCGTCTTCTGGTCCGGTGCGTGGAGGTGAATAGTTTCTTAACGAGATTTCTCCGCAGAGGGGACTTTCTCTTTTTGTTTTTTATTTTGTTTTATTGGATAGATTGTAGTGTGTAAATTGGCGATCAATGGAGATTACGATGATTTCGTGCGAGGGCAGCAGTGATTACGTCAGTTAGCAAGACCAGTGGCGCAAATTTGTCGGGGAGAGCGTGGGGGAACGATTCGCGCAAATTTGGCGGGAAGAGCGTGGGAACACGGTTCGCGCAAATTCGGGGATCATGGGAATCCGAGATCTCGTCTTCGTAATGCGGGGACAAGGGAGCTGTCTGCACGAATGATTTCGATCAGAGTTATCTTATTGGCGACAAGGGAGCGTTCGGGGAAGTGTACTGGGGTTCGCTGGGAGGAACTCTGGTGGCAATCAAGGTAATGCACGGGGAGCTGACGGCTGTGAAGCGCAGGCAGTTCGTCATTGAGGTAAATACTCTCAGCCGTGTTCACCACGCCAACCTCACCCAGCTCATCGGATACTGCGACGAGGGGAACCGGTGCATCCTGGTCTACCCCTATTTCGCAGGCGGGAGCTTGCAGTCACGATTACACAAGAGGGTGGGGGTGCGCGGAGCAGCGCCCCCGCCGCCGCTGACGCTGTCGCAGCGAATGTCGATCATTTCGCAGATCGCAGAAGGCCTTCGGTATTTGCATTGCGGCGCCAATCCGAGAGTCATTCACCGGGACGTGAAGAGCAGCAACGTCCTCCTCAGCGGTGGTGCTAACGGCAGCTTGCAAGTTGTGCTCGCCGATTTGGGCACGGCGGCCATCGCCGAGAACGTCTTCGAGACGGGGCACGAGAGCATGGTGAAGACGTGTCAGCTGGCGGGGACACGTGGCTACATCGCACCCGAGTACCTGCTCAGAGGGCGGCTGACGGCCAAGAACGACGTGTTCGCATTCGGAGTAGTCGTGTTGGAGTTGATGACCGGAAAACCGGCGATTGATGGCGAATTCCAAGCGCTCGCGGAATGGGTAGGAGGATTTTCCCAGCGTCCAAACATGTATGCCATTTTTGGCACGATCATCGACCCGTGCTTGAGGAGTGTAGTGGAGAGGAACGTCGTCGTCAGGAATATGGTCATGCATGTGGTTTATCTAGGGATAGCGTGCTCCCAACTGGAAGACGAGCAAAGGCCGATCATGAGCTCGGTGTGCGACAGGCTGACGGTATCGTTTCGGAAGCAAAACGGCGGGGTATATAAGAGTGACGTCGTCCATGGTAGAGTGGACGAGTACCTGGAAATGGCGGCGAGGAAGCCAGTCGGCGAAAGCTGGGAGCGGGAGGGAA